AGAAGAAGAAGAAGAAGAAGAAGAAGAAGAAGAAGAAGAAGAAGAAGAAGAGGAGGAGGAGAAAGAAAACGAGTGGGGGACGAGGGGAAGACGAAGGGAAGACGAAGAAGACGAGAGGAGGAGAAGGAGGATAGAAGAAGAAGAAGAAGAAGAAGGAGAAGAAGAAGAAGAAGAAGAAGAAGAAGAAGTCGTTACCTGCAACAGTTACCCTAGCAGCAGGTCCTTCGTCTGCCTGTCCAACACAACCCTAAACGATCACGACAGGAAGAAGAAGAAGGAGAAGAAGAAGAAGAAGAAGAAGAAGAAGAAGAAGAAGAAGAAGAAGAAGAACGGCGCCTTCGTCGTCGGGGTCTTCGTTGTAGCAGCAGCAGCAAGGCAGCCGGGGCCTTCGTCGTAGCAGGAGCAGCAGGACAGTCTGGCCCGTCGTCATAGCAGCAGCAGCAGACAGTCGGCGCCTTCGTCGTCGCAGCTGCAGTACTTCTCGATGGCGATGTCGACAGGCGACGGGTGACGGGCGACGGCGCAGCAGGGCGGCGCAGGAGGAACTTCGATCGTGCTGGGGGGGGCGAGTGGCAGACCACCCCAGCCGATCCCATGTTTGAAAGCGGGGATGTTTGGCGCCTAGATCAACCGGCTCTGTGGCCGTTGATCATGGCGGATCGATGGCCAGATAGCAGTCAGAAAGTTTTTCAAAATCCCACAGGCCTACCGGCCCAGCGGGTTGGTTTTTCGGGCCGGTCGGACCCGGTAGGCCTGCGGGAGGCCAAAAGCAGCGAAACGGGGGTATGAAACCCCCGAACAGGTCATTGCGCTGGGGGGGGCCGGCCCCCAACTGGGTGCCCTGCCCGGCCAGGCCGCCCGGGACCTCCCCCGGGCCTCCTCCCGTCAGCCGGGCAGCCCGGATCCCCACTCAGAAATAAATTTAAATAACCAGCACAAAGTGTGAAGACATTTACATTTTTTTTTCTTTTAGCATACAGTATTACAGTTGCTAATTATTAGCCGTAACCCCGAAATAGAGGCCCTTTTTTAGCATACAGTTGCTAATTAAAGGTCCCCGAGGACCCCGATACTTACGACAACTGTACGCTCCTTTATAATCCTTCACATTAATTAGCATACAGTTGCTTAGATATTGGAAAAAAGCAGGGCTGTGCCGGCCACCGCCCGGTTGGACCGGACCGGATCCAACCGGACCAGTTGGACCCACGGTGGTCCAACCGGACCAGTTGGACCCACGGTGGTCCAACCGGAATTCCGGTTGAGTCCAAAACTGGGTCAATTTATTTTTATTTTTATTTTTTGAAAACATGGTTGGACTGCGCTCGCCGAGATCTCCCCAAATCCGCAAAGAAAACTTTGAACAGAGAACTTTCTTTTTTTTTTGTTTTTTTTTTCATG